GAAACTTCCACGTGGCCGGCGAGTAGTTTGCCATCGACGCTCTGGTCGGTCGTATCCAAGGAAATGCATGGGTCGATCTGGACGGGACATTGCGTGGACCCCACACATACGGACGAGTGGCTCAATTGTACTGATGGCCAGGATTACGGCGCGAAGTTAATCGCTGGGTGCGTGGCTGTCAGGAGTGCGGGAGCAGGAGCGCGCGACCGCGAGAAGTGATACCACCGCTACGGAGCCTACGGGGCGGTGACGTTGGAGATCGATGGGCGGTGGACGTAGCTGGACTTTTCCCGGTCGCCGAAGGAGGCGAACGATACATTGTTGCTGCATTAGAATACGTGACGAGATATGCAGTCGCGAGAATTGTTGTACAACACACGGCAGAAATAGTGGCAACGCTCTTAATGGAAGACGTGGTGTTGAAATTCGAAGCCTTCCGTGTGTTATTGACTGATGATGCACCCGAGATGATGGGCCAGACGATTGAGCAGCTAGTACTACTGCTACAAGCAAAGCAAACGAGCCCCGTTCCCTATCGCTCGCAAATGATAGACCTTGTTGAACGCTTCCATCGCACGTGGAAGGACTGCGTCTCCACGTTCATGACCGGTGAACTTCAAAGTGATTGGTGCGATTGGGTACAATGCGCTGTATTTGCGTACAATTCAGTGCAACACTCAACGGTGGCATTGGGCCCCAATGAATTGATGATGGGTCGAAAGTTGAGGCCTCCGAACGAGTTATTGAGGTGGACAGAGCGCAACGAAGCTGGCGAGTTAGTACAGTACCATCGTCAACTAATGGCAGCGATGAAGCATGCACAAGAGTGCGCGGATCAGGCGAGAGCAAAGGAGCAGGCACGTCAAGCTTATTACTACAATAGGAAGGTGAAGTAACGACGGGGCTTTGAACCGGGTGATCGTGTTTGGGTGTATAACCCTCCGAGAGGGCACAAGGTCACCAAGTTTATCCATCAGTGGGTGGGTCCGATGAAAGTGGTCAAGCCGGCTGGATATGAAAATTACCTGCTAAAACGAGAAGATAAGACTGACCAACCAGAGCTAATGATAGCTCATTCGTCGTTCTTGGTGATACACCATTCACCAACGTCTCTCCTACGACGCGCGGTCGATAAAATTAATGAACAGATCGAACATGAAGATCACTGCGCACGGAGGTCGATGACACGGCGACAGGAGCGCCTGTATTGGCAACGACGGCGAGTAGGAGTGGAG